TCCCGGCACTGCCGCCCAGGGCCTGGGAGCAGCCTCGAGGGGACGTGTTGGTTCCCTTCCTCCTCTTCGTCCAGCTGCTGGGCCGCCAGGCCAGACACAAAGGCACAGGCCTGAGCTCGGGCACCGCCAGCCTGGGAGGCAGGCACGGAAGGGGCAGGCTCCATAGCGGGGTCTCCGAGGTACCGGTGCAGGCAGCGGTAGGGGCACAGAGGGCAGGGACAAGGAGAGCTGCCAGGAGAAGCCTGGGCAGCCTGACCGGCAGACACCATACCCAGGCAGGGGAAGCCCTATTGCTGGTGGGCAAGGAGCTACAGGAGGGAGCTTGCCCACTGGTGTGAGACTTTATGACTAGTTCACGCTCAGAAGTGTTCAGGCTCTTCAAACACCATGCCAGCCTTCAGCGTCTCAGGCCTCGCTGCCAAGAACTCCACTGAGCAACTGCTCTCACTTCAGCCAAAATACCTGGGGTGTTTTAAATCACCCCTTCCCCATCAGCTTTAGCACGTGCCTTCAGACCTTACCCCCATGCAGCTCCCACGCTCGGCATGCCTCAACACGGATTAGGTGCAGTAACACCACTTGCCCCATCCCACGCTGTATCACTTTAATGAGCCCATATAGGATGCACTGGTACCAAGAGAAGCCCACTCTTCAGAGACAGGCCCATATTCTGGTCAGCAGCAGTCCACCCTAGCAGGCAAGGTGCTATTACTTGCCAAGCAAAGAAACAAAGAGAAGTGACGAACCCTTTCAGTTAGATGACTTAATATTTGCCTATTATTTAATTTTACCTCCATAGAAAGCTCCATCTATAACTCAACCACCTCCTTCCAGCATCCCCAAACCTAAGCTGAACGAGTCTTTATAAAGTCCTTGAAAATTTATATATGGGAAACACAGCAGGTACTGGACAGAAATAGGAAGTACAAGACGGGAAGTCGTAAGAATAGGGGCAACATAACAATATCAAAGGACATAAATAAACCTGGTTTTTTTGTTGAACACTAGCTTTAGTGGTCCGTAACATCCAGAGGAAAGGGGCAGGGGGAGGTGTGGGGTGTGGAAATTATGAGGGAACCCTAGACAGCAACCTTCTTCGGGAAGAGATGTGAAGTATACTATGGCACTGCTTCATAGATTTATGCCCCAAGAAAAGCAGAACTTTCCTTTATTCATGCCAGACACCAGGCCAGCAGGTTAGGTGACTTACGGCAGAGCACTCTTCAGCAGCACTTTGCATCACGTGGGCTGGTGTGCCTGTCCTCGGATGCAGCCCCGGGGAGGATGCTGACAGGATCTCTCTACACCCTTGGGAGTTCGCACACTCAGTTTTCTTGACTAACCACCACGAGCAGCTTAACTTGTCTCTTCAGTTAGATTCAGCTCCCATTAGTGTTCCCGCTGACTCCAACCTGCTCGACTGGGTCCTTAATGCCTGACAGAGGCCCCTTTGGCCCACGTGCTACCGAGAGCTGCAGGGAGGAAAAGGCTGCACTGCCTCCGAGTTTGCCATCACAAGCTGAGCTCACATGGGTTATAGTCTGGCAGCAAATTAATTTCTACAACCTATCTCAAATGGAAGATGTCACTGACATGCACTTCTTGGAGGGGGGGAAAAAAAAAAAAGATACACAATTACCTTTTTCTAGCCGTACTTTATTGCAGGTGTACATATAAGTATTTATATTTTATTTTAAACAAGAAATTCCTTTCATGGAAAGGAGAAGCTTTTACCATTAAAATAGAGTGATTATACCACGAGTATTTTACAAATATATACAAATATTGGCAGCTAGTTTCTAACATCAGCTGATAAATGCTTACACATTACCCTCTACCAAACTAATCAAAAGCAAAAATAACAAGAGACCTTCTAAATCCAAAGACAAACAAAAAATAAGTCTATTACTAACAGGAACAGTTTTTTCATATGAATACAAAAACTTGCATATAGATATTCACAGTGCTTGTAAGATATTCATTCTCAGTCTACACACGAAAGTGTCCAGTCTCCCCTTCATATGCATATGTAACTTACGAGTACTGGAGAGAGCTGCATAGACCACTGAAAGAAGACTGTCAGACCTGGAGAGTTTGCCTTCCCCACCAGCCATGAATAAATACAAGAAACCCCCATGTACATAACAAGGCAATGGATGCTCATGCAAGAGCCAATTACACTGTTTTTCAGGCACTGGTGTATTTTTTTAAGCCAGTGACAACAGCATTTCAGCATTTCACAGATTCCTTTGAATGCTTGGTAACTGCAAAAAGAAAAATACCGAGCTGCTTGGTGGAAATAAACACTTCAATAAGGTGGTTAGGCTGAAGCAGGTATGAACGTGATTGTCTTTGAGACACGTGTGCGAGGTGAACACGTGGCATACACGTTTTATGACACCTTTCCAAACAACTATACCCACTGAATTTTGAGCTTTTTTCCTGTTAACAACCATTGCCAGAACCACGAGTAACTGTAGGTCTGCATGTGTGGGAGAGCAACAGTTCATCAGGCCTGTCCCTCTGTCCCCCCCCCCGCCCCATTTTCCATAGACAGACAGGCACCACTGCAGTAAGAGCCATCCATCATCCATCCAGCTCCACAGCAGCTGCAAGAACAAGGCTGCTCCCTGCAGCACGGCCACTGGCTTCTTGGCCGTGCCCGTCTCCCACAGCTTATGGCCAAACAGGCCCCAGGTAACAGGGAGTGACCGACAGCGGAAGGCTTGACTGGACTGTTCACAAGCAGCCAGAAGTCCTTTACCCATTTAGATCCATTTAGGAGAGTTTATTTTGGATGCAGTAAACATACCTCAAGTACTCTTTTGTAAAGGCATTTTGGCTTTGCTTGGAAGAAAGGAAAAGAGGCTACGGTGAACACACAGCTCCTTATTGTGCATTACAAAAAGAAAGAACGGTGTGATCAAAGAGGGCACGGTCAGTTAAGTTGTGGCTACAGTGAGCTTGTGCCCATCATTCATTCCTCAGACACGCAGCTAGGGTTTGGTGCTGGATTCATCTCAGAGGATGTACAGCCACTGATGCCACTTCAGTAAATGCAGATGCACCTGGATGCTCTGTCTCTATACCACACTTGCACAGAAATAGTGAGATGACAGACTTCACAGATTTGCTCTTTTAACAGTTTACAGGAACGCAATTTACCAGCCAACTGCTAAGTCTGAAAGCCCACCATCAAAGCAGTAGCTCAAACCCTCCTCATTGTGGTCTGGCTTCCTTCCTTTCCTGAATTCAGCTATCTTCAGCTTTTAAGTGATCAACACTGCTCAACACATACTTCCTCAACCAGCAGAACAGCATCAGTCTGCTCCTAGAGTTTGCCAAAAAATGATTAGCTTCCACCTGCAAGGTTGTCAAAGGCTGGGCACAGGTTACACATGCCTGTATGTACAAGCTTCCCAAATGCTGAGAATAGATGAGGGAAGGAGGTACTAGGGGAAGATAAGGAAGGAAACCAAACATACTTTTATGTGGATTTAACAAGGTAGCATGATGTTTTCCACACCAAATGCTTGAATCAAACAGCATAATTATCATTATTTTCCCAGTGAGAGCCAGCACAGCCAGCTCCACCACTCAGAATCACGAAACAAGTACCCTTGGTTTGGCAAACACCCTATGCTTCCACCATCGCCAGCCCTGCAGCATCACACACTCACATTTGCATGACCTATCTATGACTAAGTTGGACACAGTCGCTCTGACTGTCCTTCCAAAGCGACCTTCTCCAGTCCATACTTGCCGCCTAAGCAGAGGTAAAAATGGTAAGGAACAGATTCATTAAAAACAAAGAAAAGAACAACATAAAGTATGATTCAAAGTAAGGGGTGATCATGCCTGGACAAATTCTCCAGTCACACTCCTGTCTTCAAGAGCCAGTCAATTAATGCTCTTAACTTGTCTTCTCTATTCTCAGAAGCAGCCAAGTCATTTGTTTTATCCCCTCCCCCATCTCCCCAAGGATATAAGCATTTATTTACCAATTTGCATCATGGCAGTAGTAGACAGCTGAGAGACAGTTCCATTTGTTGCATTAAAAAGAAGGGGGAAAAAAAAAAAAGAACAACAGACATTGTATTTGGCTGGATGCTTACAACAAAACAAAACAACATTAAAAAAAGAGAAATAAAGTCCTGGAAGAGCAGGTCTTGCTCCCAGTAAAGCAAATGGGCAACTTGTGTTCATTACAACAGGAACAGGCTAGACACTTCCATCACAGACCTCCAAATGTGCTCAGACCATATTCTGGCCTGACAGCTGTTGGCAGTGTTGCAGCAGCACAAACTCAAGAAAACTCAACTATTTGTACACTAGCATTAACATAAATGGACCACAAGAGAAAGGCAGGAAGATAAACTGACACAGACTTTAAATTTCTTTCTGATAAATCCATTTAGACACAGTGTTTGCTTTACTAGCTCAGCGTCAGTTTTGGTCCACTGTTTTTGGTTTTTATGTTGGTTGTGTCACTGCTAATGGTGCAGGCCACTTCCATTTTCTGCTCAGACAGACACTTCAGATGCCAACATTAAGTGCTACACTCCAGTTGATTTGCCCTGTAGTCAGGTCTGCAGAAGTGATGCCACTTACTGATTGTGGAGCTGAGTAACAAAGCTGCTCACAGTCTCCTGCAGTGTGACATCACATGTGTTAATGAGGTATATATTTCCATGATGAGCTGTTTCCTGGTATGGAAGAGCTCCAATCTCATTACACCACAAACTCCTCTGGGAGCTGGTCCTCTCCCAGAAGATCCAAGGAGAGGCAGTTCATGGACCGCTTCCCATAAAGGGCAGACTTGGTTTTACAGTCCACTGTGGAATAAACGCAGCCATAGATAGACAGCTTATCCTCCAGGCTGCAGCCAAACGTGTAGCTGTGGGATGTGTCCGAGGACAGCGTGGCACTTAGTGGTGGGTGCCGGTGCTTGTAAAGGCGGATGTCATCCAAACTCTGGCTGTGCTGGTCTGTGCAGCTCCTGCTTTTGGGCGATCTGACCTGCCAGTTCAGTAAGACACACACGTATAAAAACGATGAGCTCAGACACAGCCTAACGATGCTGGCTATGCATGCTACAAGTTTTCCTAAATTGTTCTTCCACTCCTTCAAAACAGCCCCACCAGCCTTCTGAAGGACATTGGCTTAATGAAAAAGCTGTGAACCATTAAGAAATGACAAGTGCATTAAGCTGCCCTGCCATGTTGAGCCAGATCCTGATCTCTGTACTGTGTCCTCAGTGTCCAGTAGACGGATGAAACACTTGACAGGTATTGACACCTGAATGACCTGACACTTCTTGGCAGATCCATGCAGCCATCCTCAAAAAGACAAAGTAACGTAACAAAAACCAAAAAAATTACCGCAACTGCTTGAACACACTGAGTTAGTGAAAGCCTAATGAGCTGAAAGGAAGGTTCAGAAAGCAACCACGCAAACTAATAGGTTACCGTGTCCAAAATTCACTAGTGCAACATACAGTTTCATCTACATAACATTGTTCAGCAATGAAGAGAACAGAAGCAACAAACCAGCAGTAATTCCCAGAGGCAGCTTCTTGCTACACAAGCTGTAGTGACTCGGCCTCTGTGGAGGAATTAACTGACCATCTAAGACTTTCCCACCTGTTTTTTCTTACTCTGTCTCTTCATAATCAGCTTTTAAATGCTAGTATTAAAGCTGATTTCAGGAATATCACTTTTAAACCAAGACACTTCTGTTGGCAACACAGAAAACTTGCTCCCAGTATCACTTCTCTCACCTCCATGGGATGGGAATTAAAACAACTACCCTGAGGAAACCCTGCGCTGGCTCAGCTGCACTCCCAGAAACAGGCACATGCTGTACAGTCTCTCCAACACTAATGAAACCCAGTCCTGCAGCATTTAGTTATATGGCTTTGGAAGGAACGTGGTGGTTTTTGTTGGGGTTTTTTGTTTGGTTGGTTGGTTGGTTTGTTTTAAAGATGCACCAAATATTTGATGCATGGAAGTGGCAGCCGGGTCTTTGCAATTGCTTAAACAGTCCTGTGTTGATCAGAAACATTCTTAAAACAGATGCCTCATGATCAATTAATAGCATAGGCATGTGTTGGTAAAAGCATTAATGTAAAAACATTACTTTAAGCAAGATGCCCACTCCTTGCCTTGTACTCTTAAGTCATTCCACTCAAGTATAGCAGTAAGTTCATTATGATTTGTACTGCACAGTCTTCAGCTTTGGAAAAAATAACCAAGATTTTATTTAAATCTCCTATAGCACTTTATGGACTATTTTGCTGATAAGTGAATATTTCTTATCACTTTTGACTGGGTCCAGGAAGAAGCATGAGAAGAAAAGAAAAGTCCTAAGAAGTGATTGAAATCCTTGTTCAGAAGAGTTCAGGGAGCAAAGGGGAAAACTATGAACAGATTTTTTAAATTCTTTTATCAGATAAGGCTAATTGGGATTCAGAGAGAGAAGAAATTGTAGAGACCTTATTTATTTCTTTGTTTTTTTCTTTAAAAACCCACACAATATTTCTACCTGAGTGGGTACAGCTATACTTTAAAAAGTAGTATTGTTTGGCCTTAAAAAGACATTTTAATAAGCTTTTTCCAAGCACAACTTATGATATGACATATTTTACCATATATAGTTGCCTTTTCTCAAGGGTTTGATGAAAATGTTGACAACAAAGACTTGAGCACACACATAGTATAATCACACAAGTGATAGTAATTGGAGCTTGAGCATCTGGTTTTGTTCTGATGTGAGCTCCTTCTGGCTTCAGGAGCAGGAAGATGATCAAGTTTGCAACCCACATCCAAACTGCATGGATGGTCTTGGCTCTATATTGCACTGACAATTTGCATGTGGTTTATTTTCCATTTCCTGTCTGGAAGCCTAAGGCAGACGATAGCTGGTTTGCAAGATTTCCATGCAGATTGCTCCAAAACTCTCTATGCTATTCTGGACCCAAACACTGCTCTCATCCTATTCCTGAGAGCAGTAGCTGGCCAACAGCTGGTTTTGGTTACACCATTTAAAATCAGTCAAATCCAGACCGATCAAGTTCACCTGATTTACAGCTGTCTTCATTACACTAGACCTTAGTTCAGTGCCCACACACAGACCCTCCTGCCGAGCACTCTGCCTTACCTGGTGAAGGGATTCCACACTTTGACCTCTCATTTTTATTAGTGTGACTTGCACCACAGACAGCGATTCCTGATTTATAGCTGCAAAGGAGAAGAAGGAAGTGAACAGCATTGCAGGTTTGAGGTTTTGTGGGCTAGGGAAAAGGGAAGGTGTTCTCACAGGCCACACTCAAGCAGTGCTATACCTGTAAATACAAGTATACATCAGTAAGCATCCTCAATGCTCTGGGAGTTTTGCTCACAAGTACTCCTTTTTGCCCCTAAGGGTCAATGTTTAAAAACTCTCAAGAAAACAGCTTCTCACCAACTTGTCCCACATTCACCCATCTTGCTTTGCTGTAGAGGCTGCATGACCCCATTGTCTGGCATTCCCTGTATCACAAGCCACAAAACTTTACCTATGAATTCCTGCGACCAGCCCATTAATCTGTGGTTGAAACCCTCGGGTGTTTTGTGGCCTACAAGATTTTAAAGCAAATTCCTTCACTACAAAAGGTTTACCTCAGTTATCTTTTTGCCATTGACTGAGTATAAACTTGACAAATTTGGAGAAGGGAGACCTTAAGGAGCACAGAGGAGAGCAGCACTGTACAATATAGGGTGCTGGCCTTTAACCTCCAGATGAGCTGACTTCAAATCCTGTTGCAGTAGGGCAGTAAGTAGCCCTGGCAGTCCTTTGGAAGAAGATACAGCTTTCTTAGATCCCTCAGATTATGCCTGGCTTGCCAAACATATCTTCCTGTTGCTAGAGCCTAAAGAAAAGCACTGAGCAGTAGCAGAAAGCCATCTCACCTTGGCAGCATGCAGCATCTAGAGGAAGAGATTCAACAGATTCGCCCACAGTGGCCTCCTCTAATTGGTCTCCCCCTAAAGGCGCATCTACAGGCACCTCCTCTGGCTCATCTACTGCCAGCTCAAGCTCTAGGAGGAAGAGAGCGATATGAGAAGGGTTAGCATCACACTTCTGCTCCAAGCTGCTTCACATTCTTTTACTCCCCATTCTCCTACAGGAGAAGACAAGAACGGGCTTAGAATTTGCTCCGCATCTCCAAATTCTTTACCATCATCCTGAGAGTCGTCTTCAGCCCGCCCTTTGCTGCCACTGTCAATGCCAGAGCTACCATAGCTGATGGTTGAGCTGCAGGATTTCTCTTTCCTGTGCACCCGGTCAATGCTGAAGGGCTCATCCACTGACATTTCCACTGACACCCGGTGCCTGGAGTCAGCCTCGATGCCTGATGTGTGAGAGCTGCTGTGACTCCCTGTGGACTGGCGCGAGAGACGGTTATCCCTCCGGCTGCCCCCGCTGCTCCCACTGCCGCGCGAGTTCTTATCACAGGGGTCCAGGTCCATGTCTAGCGTGTCGCTGATATAGGACTCCCGGTAGCGCTTCTTCTCTGAGGAAGAAAGATGAGAGAAACCAGGGGGAATTTTAAGCAAGACGGAAGGACAGCAAAAATAATCAGTAAGTTCTGGGACTGGCACAACCCAACAATTAAGAGACAACTGCTGAAGCTACTGAACAAATACAGGGACAGTTCTGTGTTTTGTTTGCTCAACAGATACTGGGATGCCCAGCTGGCTGTAAAAGAATTAGTCAGTTGTACTTGCAGTAAACCCAGCATCTCCTGAATTAGAAGAGGCAGGGAGAGGCAGTTATGATACAGAAAATAGTAGCTTCCAGAATGAAGAAAAGGTCAAAAAAAAAAAAAAAAAGGGAATTACTTAACTAACCTAAGTGCTCAAAAACAGAGTGCATGGCATTGATTGTTTCCTGAAACAGTCACCAGTGTGTGAAAAGGGCTAAGAACAGGATCCCCATGGCTGGCATTTATTAATGATTTATTAATTATTTCTCCCATGGCTTGTATCTGTTATCTAAAGAGAGGTGTGCTGAGGGTGGTCAAGAAATCCACAAGACACTAGTGGACACAAAACAACCTAGGGCCTTTTGCCCACACGCACTTGATCAGTGAGCCTTTCTACAGGTGACTGGCACGTGCCACTGGCTGCACCTGCACAGCTCAAGGGCACTTCTATAACCCCACTGAAGCAAAATACAGAAATAACGAAGCTAGATGAGACCAAGAGCTGCCTTGCCTTGTACACCAATTCCACACAACCAGCGATCACCACTTCAGAGATGAATGTAAGCTCCTTAAGAGTTAGCAGAGATGGCCAATAACCAGAAACAAGTTTCCTCCTGACTTCTCCGTGGAAGGAGTCAGCCTATGTCCTCAGACAAGAGGACCAACTACTGCTGGCTGACTTCTACTGACATTGAAGGTAACAACACAAGGCTTACAAACCCCAGAGAAGATAGAGAAAGTGTGAACGGAGAACACACGGAACAGCAGTCAGGAAAGAAGTAGGGGAAAAAAGTGTTCAGGAGAAGGCTAGAGGGAAGGGGACACAATCCTCTGAAAGAAGACCTATGCAATGCATTAAAAGCAGCCACTGGGGAGAGGTAGGCTGAGAAGTTGTAGGAGACCCAGCATGCAGAGCTGGAAAATGGAAGGGGTAAGCTGAGAGGTGATGAAATAACTGAAGTTTGCCTGGACAGATACCAGGGACTGTCAGAGTTCAAATCACTGTTCCTACAGGGAGGGGACCCCATCAGAAAGAGACAAATTCTGGGAGTTCTGATCTGCTCTCAGGCTGTTTCTGGCACCTGTAACTCCTGGCTCTTAACTGTCTGACACTATAGACTAAATTGTGTGCAGTGTTTAGTAAAGGGCACTAAAACATTAAGACACACGCACACAACCTGTACTGCTGCTTGAACACAGGGAGATCTTATCACAATGGAAAGAAAGCTTTTTATTTAGAATTACTTCCACTTAGAAGCACGTGTCAAACGTGCACAAATTGGGAGCACAGAGAGCGAGGATCTCCTCTTACTTAAAGGGAGATATTCCTCCTCCACTGCTCTCACCCACACTTTCTGATCACAGTCTAGCAATGTGGGAGCCGTAAACACTTGCCAGTAATGGACTTGAAACATATCTAACACCTCTATTTCTCTAACCAGCTTCCTGATAAGGCAGAAACACCATTAATTAGAGAGCAGCCACCATGAAGCAACAGCAAGGCCTAACATGCTGTACTCTTCCCCTTACCAAAGTCACCTGCTCTTTCATCACATACCTTCAGCCTCCTCCAGTTTTTGGATTTGCTTCAACACTGGCTGGATATTCAGAAAGAGCCGGTGGCTGTTGCTCAGGAGCTGCAGCAAGTGCCGCGACCTGAAGGGGCAACCTGTGTAGTAAACCAGTTTCCGTGCAGAGGGCAAACCATCTGGCTGGATCTCAAATTTTTTCCCCTGCATAGAGAGGAGAGATGCTAGTGAAATGACCAAGAGCACATTTTCAGCCACAGTGCTACCAGAGATAGCTGCGGTCTTTTGCGTATGAGTGACAGGACTTGACATGGCAGCACGGGCAGGCCGACAGCTTTGCCAGGTCCCAGGTTGACAGCCCACTGCCAGATGGCCTCCATTCCATCATACTCACCAGAAACGCCAGCTTCCCGATGTGCGACCAGGGAAAGTCGTAGAGGAGCTGGCGAACGTGATTCACCTCCTGCAACACATCAAACTCGGGGTGACACAGGGACTGGCAGGTATGGGGTGGAGTCAGCAATGTACAAAGAATTTGCAAACAACCAAGTATTTGAGATATGTGGAGCCTGGTGCTCGCAGGGGAGGCAGAGGAGCTGCGGTGGGGGGGAGGACAGGGGAGCTGGGCAGAGTTAATGCTACACCAGAAGGCTTTCACGGCAGTCTGTTACCTGATAGATGTGCATTCCTCTCAGGGTCAGGCCCAGGATAACTGTCGGGCGATCCTCCTTCTTATCCTAAAAGAACAGAAGAGCCTGGAGTCAAAGGTTAATCTACAAAGACCATGCTCTTGTTCTGGCACCTACTGCAGGAGAAGTAGCAGGACTGCTCATCAGGCAGATGCCATCAGCTCATTTGGTTTTTATTGTATTTGTAAAGTGCACCTTGCCTTGTTGACCCGTGAAATATCTACACCTAAAATCCCCTCATGGTGGGCGTCTCAAGCATTTCACCAGCAAACACCCTAGCTGCCCTGAACAGGGAGTCCTGGAGCTTTAGTTACTTGAGGGCACAGACAATTACTGCTCTCAGAGGTACCTTGTAACCTCTCATGCTGCCATGCACTGTCTCTGCTGTCCCCATGAACATGCACCACTCTCGCTCTCCAGGTGACAGAGACCCTGAAACAGAAGGGATGCCTGTCCCCTTCTCCTTGCCACAGAATCGCTGTTCCCATCCAGGGACTCGCTAGACTTTTGGTGTCCCTTGGCCAGGAGGGAGCTAATCAATGCCCAGAGTTACAGGGACCTTTTTTATAACCTTTTTATCTCAGTGCTGGAAACAGGTGGTTTTAAATGTTTGCGGCTGGGTTGGAATGCTGCCTTGTTTTTCCTCATGCTGTATCTTGGTATGACATACTCTGTCTCTAATGAGATTCCTTCGATTGAAGACCAAGAAATATCATTAACTAGTTCTTTCAGTCTTTCCTAGCATGGCAGAGTTAGGGAGGGGAACGCATACATTTCTTGCTAGGAGGAGCAGGAGGAAGAAAATTTGGGGGTAAAAATTTATGGGCTCACAGAGCTCAAGTTTTACATCAAAACTGTCTCTCCTCATCTGGCTTGTCAAGACACAAGCTTTATGCCATCACATTACCTCACCCTTTGCCCCTGGTACCATCCATGTCTCCAGTTTAGTCACTAAGAAATGCTTTCTGCCTCCTAAGGGCAAAGAGCTTCGTAAATCAGTATTAGTCTGGAGGAGAGATACAGGGCTCAGTGCTGTGTTTTCTTTCAGAGTTCCCAACCTCAGTAGCAGCCATGAGGACGGTGTAAGACAAAAGTGACTGCTTTTGAAATGTCAGGGCAGCCAGTGCACCGACACCTTCACCTGGCACCCCTCCACACTCAGTCAGGAGCTTTGTGACCCATGTGTCACCTAGGAAAAGGAGATCTCATCATGAGATGAGATAACTGTGTCACACGGCAGGAAGAAGAGCACATGGTGGATCAAACACCACATGAAGGAATCAGCAATGCATAAAATGTAAGTTCAAGTCAGACAGGAATTTGGATATTAAGAGCAACGAATTTCACAGCCCTGGTGCTTTCAGATATAAATTGTATCATATCCTACCAGCTGGATTTCTTATGGCATTCAAGTGTAACCAACCCTCTTATGACTGCATCATTAACAGCACTAGAAATCAAAACAGAGAGGACAGAGGAGAGGTAGGGCAAGCATCTGTGGTTTGCGAGGAACTGAAACTAGGCCTGGGCTACAGACCAAACTAGAACTTGTTTCCTCCAGAAAACGCGTGTTTCTCCAGTAACCAAAGCTGCTAGATCTGGTCAAAAGACACAGATACCCCCCAGACATAGTTTCCACTGAGCACAAACAACTGAGAAGTTTAATTATGAGTCTGACAAATGGCATATCCCCATTTGGGGAAAAAAGGTCCAAGCCATTCCTAATTGCATGAGCAGGTTTCACTCACCTAAGTGGAACAGGAAACTTTTCTTTAGTCCTATTTCTAGACCTAAACTCTCTTAGCATGTGAAAATGAAGCACATTCTGTTAAGCAGGCTTGGATAAGGAGTCTAAGACTCAGGGACAAGCAACAATCCAGGAATCAAAAAACTGACATACAGCTGAAAAAACGGCAACTACTGTGACAGGATTGGAGGGGGAGGTGGGTAAGAAAGTTGGGATGACTCAGTGTCACCTGCAGTTATTACTTGGGATTGGTGTGAAAGCTGGCCAACCTCTTGTCATCATTTCAATGGACTGCAACCAAAAAAAAAAAAGGCTTCTCGGTAATTTCCCTGGTGTGAGCCTACTGACAGGCAGGGACAAAAATTAAATTTTGCCATTCCTGTGGCCACTTTCTTGGCCAAGGAACAAAACTAGATTCCAGCTATACCTGTATATTGGCAACAGATTTTTTCGTGGGAACAGGCCTCCTTGGCTGAACATTCTAGACCTGTTTGGCCTCTCTGAATCAGAGGCAACCGTCTCTCAAATAAACAGAAAGTGAAAAACACAATGGTGTACCCAATTAATGATGGGAGAGAAGTTAAAAATGAGAAGCTCTTTGTTTAACCTTCTGCAGCCTGTAGAAGTGGACGGGCACATCTTCCAGCAGGCAGGACTCCTTAATGAACTTCAGCACTGCTTCCTTAGCACTCAGCCCTTGCTGTTCTCGGTGCATCTCTGGGGCATGTTTCAAGATGTAGTCACTCCCCCTCTTCGCAATTATCTAAACCACAAGGAAAACAAACAGGTCAGCAACTCTTCATCAATCCCCACGGGAGGCAGCTGTGATCAACAGCAAAGCAGAGACTGGAGGTGGAGGAGGTTCATACGGTTCCTCAAGATGTTAGTCCACATTCACGTCTACCTCCCTGGGACAGGCATTTAAAGAAGCCCAGATGATACCAATGTCTCCAAACATATTCTAGATGGCAAAATCATAACAAACCAAGACTACAGAGGTCATGTCAGCTCTTTTAATTTTTAAGGACTGGAATTAGTTTTCCTAACTCTTGGCATCCATAAATGCTTATGGGCAGATAACAAATACTGCTGTGCATGCCAACACAATCAACAGCAACATCCCCAAACACTGCAGAAGTGCTAGGTGGTCCTTTTAAGACCAGAAACTGCACATTAGGCTTATTTAGCACTTCCATCCTCAAAGGGGTGGATAACACTATCTCAAGGTATTTTTTACGTGTCGGGAGTGGTTGACAGGCACATGGCTTTGCTAAGCAGTAAAAAAACCCCACACTGGGCCTTTTGCTCTGGCCGTGTGAGTGCCCAGTTCCCATGCTTGTCCATGTGCCCTCTCTGCACAAGGCTACAGGGCAGCCTGGCCACCTCCTGTGCCAGACTGACCCCTTCCAGGCTGCAAGTGGCAGTGACAGATAAGAGGGGTGTTGGCTGAATTCACTTCACAAAATCCCCGACCACTGGGGGCATTTAAAACTAGATCCCACCAGGTATCCGAGAACATCCTGCCAGGAACAACCTGCCCTGGCTCAAAACAACCAGATCCCATCACCACTCAGTTCCCACTTCCATTTTATATTAAGCCCCTTCTTTACCCTGTTTGGTAACACCTCTGCATGCCTTGCCAGATTAGTTGCCCTCCCACAAGGAAGGCTGGGCTCAGTGGAGGACAACATCGACGCCATCGGCTGCGCAACGTCAGCAGAAAGAGACACGCCAGCTCCACAGTTCAAAGCCGGGTTGACTGCCCCGGGGCAGCACCGCCTCTCCTCGCTAGCACAAGGCTTGGGGCAGCCCTCGGCCAAAAGATCTCAAGCACATGTTGGAGGAAGAGATTGTGTTGGAGGAGGAGATTGCTCAGTATCTCCCCACGGGAGCCTGGGGGCAGGGAGAGAAGCGTCCCCATACCTGCCAGATTTTGCTCTTTGTAATGATGTAATAAATTACCCACATACTTGCTTGGGGTTGTGGCTCAGCACAGGTGAGCCAGCCTTTGCCTTGGCCTTTGCAATGTTTGCCAGATGAGCAATAGTCTGCGATAACACTTTTAACTGCCCCAGAAACAGCACGTGTGAGACCCACCTTTTCCAGCCCTTTGTTAGCTACCTCCTGCCGGGCGCCCCGTAGCAAGGAACAACATGGGATGAAAGCCTGTTGTCTGGGAGAAAGGTGCGTTTCTGCACAGCAAGGCAGGCAGGCTGGGACTCGTGCATAAAGGAGACTCTACCAGCCTTGCCTCCCCGATGCAACCCCATCACTGCTCTGAACCTTCTCCCCAAAGCAGGGGAGAGTGCCACCTTTCAGAGGAGGTGTGACTCATCTGGGGACAAGCAGCCAACTACCAGAGGCATCTGGGCTTTTCAACAGCTATCCCAAAGCACAAGCTGGGCTAAAATCTGCTGTGACAGCAGAGAAGGGGGCTCCAGAACGAAATCAGGTTGCAGGGGAGGGTCTGTCCAGGTCCAAGGGAACAACCTGCTCCAGCAGATGTCATCAGACATTACAATGATGTGTCTGTAGCAAAGCTAGCTTCCCTTTCTATTTTTGTGGACACTAAAGTGTGTATCAACAGTTTTCTTGACATTTCACCACAAGAGAAGAACTCCCTGCAGGTAACCAGCTCTGACAGAGCCTTAGCTTATTTGCCTTCATCTGACAACTAAACCAGCTCTTGGCTTTCTGAGCTGTTTGTAAGTCTTGAAAGGCACAAGCCCACATGCACATGCTTATAAACAAACATGCTAACCCATTTCCAGGCCCTTTTCACTGTTCTCTTATTGCAGCTGAGCCAGAGATTAATGACAAAGCAGGCACCAGAGGCACTGCACAGCAGTACTACCCCTTAGGGTTTGGGTCTATCCATCCTAGAGGTAAGCATTACAGAGATGGGAACAAAGGGCCATGGACTTGGCTTTGTGGCCTTGAGGTTTTCTGTAGAGTTTAGGTTGTGCAGATCTTGCTGATGTACCACTGCAAACACACAACGCTTTAAGCTATAGAAGAATTAAACAAAAACAGCCACACTGTTGGAGTTATTCATTTGACACCAACACATTCCCTCACCGAGGAAGGGTACACACCACCCACCTCACTGATGAGTGAGCCCAGGAGGAACAGGCACCTACATCCCGTGGAAAGAGATCTCCTGAGGGAAATTCAAGGTGACGCTCTACCACTCTGCATGATCATTGCAGCAGGAA